TAATTGTGTTTATTTTGTGACCATCTGATTATTTTTTTATCTTCCCCACAGGACTATAAGTTCTTGCGGTCAGAGAAGAATCATAAAGACACACAATCTGACTTCCGTGCCTTCTTCCGCCTCCCATGTTCTCAGTGGTGCTCTGGAGAACACCAAGCAATTGCCTGCTTGTAGCCACAGACAAGGTGTCCACAGAGCTCTACATACCCTTGAATGGTTGGTCAAATGCCTCAGTGGCCCTCGTCTCCATCACCTCCAACTCTGCTTGACCCAACAACACTTAAGGGGGCAGTTGCAATATCTGGCCACTGTCTCTCTATGTAGAACTTAAGCCCTCTAGAGTTCATTGAAATTATCATGGTTTTACAAACTACTCCAGCTCTGTATAGGTAAACCTGATAGATGAATGAATGATTCTGTTTTTTATAAGACATATACTTTCTTTTAAAAAGGGCCAAAGAAAACTATATTGGATGGTTATGCTTTCCTCTCTACTTACATGTAAGCCTAAAACATATAGCCAAACAAACTGTACCTAATGGCCAACCTTAGGTGATCTAAAGAAAAGTACAATGGGAGAAAGAGACAGTACCAAGAAGGCACAAAACTCAATTAAAACCTAAGGGATTTAAAGAAAAGTAGAAAAAGCACAAAGGGGCATTATTCAAAAGGCACAGAATAATTTGGGGTGAACTGCTTAGATGGCCCCAACATTTAAAGCAATGGGCATTGATGCTCAAAGTTAACTTCAGTCTTGGAATAACACCAAATTTCTTTAGGCCCTTCCCAAATAGGTCAAACTTTAGCTAAAAGCAAAACAAGACAGGAGCCAAAAGCATAATTATTATTTCTCCTCCTTGACCCCAATCACCAAAAAATGCAACCTGCTCTCTGAGGACACAAGCCTGCGGACCAGAATCAGGAGATGCAGATTCTCTTCATAGCCTGGCTCTCATTGATTCATCTCCAAACTTAACCTCAGCTGTAAAATAAGGGCACCAATTCTAGTGTTCTACAGTTTTATATTATGCTGTTATATAGGAACTAGAGGCCTGGTGCACAGATTCGTGCACCGGTGGGGTCCCTTGGCTTGGCCTGTGCCCTCTCACAATTGGGATCCCTCAGGGGATGTTGGACTGCCAATTTCGGCCCAATCCCTGCAGGCCAGGCAGAGGGACCCCACCAGTTCACGAATCTGTGCACCGGGTCTCTAGTACGCATATAAGATCTTTGGTTAATCTCTTCCCACTCTCCCTCCTTCCCTCTGAGATTCATCAGTCTGTTCCATGTTTCCATGCCTGGGCATTGAGCATCTGCCCCCTGGGTGGTCAGTGCGCATCATAGCTACTGGTTGAATGGTTGAAGGGTCGAACGGTCACTTAGGCTTTTATATATATAGATGGTACAAAAAACCATGGAGTTTATAGAGCTGATAAACTCTCCACTGCTCAGACCAATCCAATGTTCTCTCCAATTTTCAGTAACAAATCTAAGGAGGATATTGTAAAAAATACACACACACACACACACACACACTCACACACACACACACGTGTATATATATTGGCAGACAAGAATGGTTATCCAGAAACCATTAAATGAAAGGTATTACTAAGGGAAGTGAAAACATTTAACTTAGAAAAGAGAAGACTGATAGTCCTTTAAGTAACATGAAATAGATGTCACAATGATGACTTATTCTGTTTTATTTTATAGGACACAATTGACTAATGGATAAAGACTGCAGGGAAGCATTTGACTCAACAGAAAACAAAATTTAATAATTAGTTAGGTCTGCAAGTATATAGACTTCCTCTGACATAACCTGCCTCCTTTGTAACTGGATGCCTCAAAAGCTAATTGGGTAATTCTCTGGGCTATTTTAGAGTAGGAAGTCGAGAGATTTTATGCAAAGGGATGTGAGGGTCACATACAGTCTCCATTACATATTCTTCCTTGTGTGTGCATTTTTATAGCCATTAAAAATATAAGAACTATCCTTAGCCTGGGGGCCATTGCAAAAACAGGTGGTTTGCTGATCCCTGTTCTGGAGGAGTGCTGTCCAATAGAAGTGTTACTCACATACATTTTTCAGTTACTCAACTGTAACTGAAAATTTTCTAATATTTATATTTAAAAAGGTAAAAAGAAACAGGTAAGGTTAATTTTAATATATTTTATTTAATCCAATATATCCAAAAATTATCATTTTAGCATGTGAACAAAATTAGTGAACCTTTTAACATTTTTTAAAACTAAGTCTTTGAAATCAGTGTATTTCACATTTATAGCATATCTCAATTTAAATTAGTCACATTTCACCTGGCCAGGGTTGCTCAGTGGTTGAGCGTAAACCCACGAACCAAGAGGTCACCAGTTCAATTCCCAGTCAGGGCACATGCCCAGGCTGTGGGCTCGATCTCCAGTAGGATCTCATCATTGATGTTTCTATTTCTATATCCCTCTCCCTTTCCCTCTCTCTAAAATCAAGAAAAATCAATCAATCAATAAATTAGTCACATTTCAAGTACTCATTAGCATGGAGAAATAGCAGAGGTGACCTTCTAATGATTCATATCAATGAGGAAAAATGGAACAGTCAACAAGTAATTGTTGGAACAAGTGGCATGATAATTGGAAAAATAAATCTGGATCCTTTCTTCTGCCTTACTCCATTATAACTTCCAGATAGAAATCAGATGGCAATGTAAAAAGGTAAAATAAATTCAAATGCCCCAAAAAGAAAAAATGCCAAAAAATATGTTATTTTAATCACTGGATTGGCAAAGATTGAAAAGGCCATATCCCCAGACCCTCATTAAACCTGAGTTTTGGAATATAAATGTGCACAACCTTTCTTAAGGGCAGCTTGGCAATATGTATAAACATATACCTCACTTCTGAAAGTTCACCCTAAGAGGTAATATTTATACGAAAAGGACAAAAAGATGAAGGCATAAGGATATTCACTGAAGCATCATCCATAAGTGAAAACAACTGGAAGTAACTTAAATGTCCATCATCAGTAGGACTAATTAAGTAAAATAAGGTCATTAACAATAATGTAGGTTTCTTATAGAAAGGTGCTGACATTGCTGGGGGCGGGGGAGAATGTAGGTTATTAAACAGCATGCATAATGTGATCCTGTTTATGTAAAATTTTAAATTTCATGTAAATGTATATATTCACAGAGATATCAGAAGGATATTTAATAAAATGTATACAGTGATTATTTCTGATAGAGGTAGATATGGGATAATTTTCTTTGGATATGATCATACGTATTTATCTTCATTTTTATAATGATCATCTGACACCTTTTATCCCAGAATTATTTTTATAACCTCAGCATGATTTTTTTTTCAACTGGCACCCTTAGACGTATCTTTTATACTTGTCATTTTACACAGTATGTTACAATAACCACAATATGAATACATTCTTTCACTGAAATAACACTGTCATGATTCACATAGGCAACTAGTACTCTGAGGAATATCTTTTATACATGGGACTTAAAAGAGTATATTATATATGGTACAGTGTAGTAAACTTATTTATTCACTGAAATAACACTATTCTGATTCAATGAATTATCAGCACACTTTTTTTTTTTACACTAAAATAAATTTATCTCAGAGACAACTTTTCCAGAACCTTTCTTCTCCGATTGAGGCCTGCTGTCAAAGTGTGGGTAAGCTGTCCAGGGTTCCCCTGGGACCAACACACACAGCTCACTGCTGGGTCAGGAGCTGGTGTTGCCTTGACTGTGTTTTTTTGTTTTTTTTAATGAATTTATTGGGGTGATATTGGTTAATAAAATTATATAGATTTCAGGTGGGCGCTTTTAAAAATATGTCTTAAAGGCGTGTGTTTAGACAGTGTCATACATGCACCACATGAACACATTCCTTTGCTGAAATAATCAGCGTGATGATTTTTATCTTTTCTGATTAATATAAAACTTAAATTTTTTACTTTAAAAATTCTCCTAACATACAGACATATGTTAAAAGCAAACTAACAGCCCTCTTTAGTGAATAACGCTTTCATAGGCTATAAAGAGAGTGGGGAGAAATACAGGCGACAAAGAAACCAAACATGAAAGGAAGCCACTTGCCTTTCCTCGGTTAAGCTATCTTTGATTCCTGGAAAAGGCACAAGAAGGACAAGTATTTTGACCCCATCTTCTAGTGGTGGGTAATGTTTTACACAACAACTCATACCAAAAAACAATTCCTTAGAGATGAAAGGCAGCCTTAAAACATATCTACAGAACATAACATGAGAAGAACACTTCTCTTTAACCCAAACACTCTTCTGTATACATCTAGATGCGTACCCAGAGTTAATATCACCAGAAAAGAGCCCTAGATCCTACAAAAATGGCAAACTATGAACAAACTAATATATTTTCATGGCCTTGTAAATAATAAAAGAAAAGCCTACTGAAAATAAGAGAAGCAAAGTTATGTGAAGAGTCCTTTGCTGGCTTGCTCTCCACCCAACAACAGATTAAGTTGCTTAAGAGACAGACACGAATAAAGGTAATTTCATATAATGTCATTCTTTAGTCACTATGTTTTCCAAGTTTGGGCTTTATAAGATCTATAAAACCACAGGGCTATGGGATACAAATAAAATTTGACTTTAAGTAATCTTTTCCCTTCCCATCACTGCCATTTCTCAAAACCCTAGATCCTTTTTCTCAAACAGTTAGCACGAGGTTCATTCACAACAGACTCACAAGGCCTCACTGTCAATAGAATAGATGCCCCGAAACAATCAGTGTGCTCCTGGGAACAGTCTTCAAGTGAAAAACAGTGAGACACCAGCAGATGACCAATGTTAAATGTTTTCTCAATTGTGGGGGGAAATGTCAACAGCTCTTTCAAGAGTTAAAAGGCTGCTTTTTACTGAACTATCGAGCTAGCTCTCCAACAGGCAGGCAGCGGAGACACTTTAGGTGTCGGCAGAGGAGACCTTTCAAGGGCATTACCTTTCGGAGGAAAGTACGACTTGCTTTCAGCTTTGTGAGGCCAGTCCACCACAAGAGGTCCGAACCTGCGGAAGCTGGCAGTGATCTCATCTGCAAAACAGAGGAGGAATCTTAGCAAAAGAGAAACGAACACTGCAAACCGAATAGCATAAAACATGCCTTTTCATATAAGAAATGCTTGGAGAGCAGTTTTGTAAAGCATTTGTACAGAAGGCAAACCTACGAAGCAAAATACCGATCATACAGGGGGATACTTTTCGTCATTCACTCTCACCCACGCAGAATGTGATTCTAACTATAATTCATTTCCCTTCACTGCCAATTCACTGATATAAAGATTTGGGAGGGAAAAAATCTGACGTTAGCGAAGGTGACATCCCTGTCAAATAAAATGGAGATTCTAAAAATAGGAATGTTTTCTGCTTTTAGAAAAAAGGCACAGCCAGAGAAAGATAAATATCACATGATCTCACTCATTTGTGGAATATAATGAACAACATAAACTGATAAACGAAAACAGATCCAGAGACAGAGAAACATCAATCAGACCATCAAACCTCAAAGGGAAGGTAGGGGGAGGGTCAGGGTAAGAGGGAGAGATCAACCAAAGGACTTGTATGCAAGCATATAAGCCTAACCAATGGACACAGACACCAGGGGGGTGAGAGCATGAGTGGAGGGGGGGAGGGAAAGGGGGGATAAGGACACATATGTAATACCTTAATCAATAAAGAAAAAAAAGAAAAAAGGCAAAAGTACACAGAATATTTAAAATATTTTTACTTGTGTAAAATAATCTCTCAGATTATTAACCCTGGATTATTATTATTAATCTAAAGAGTATTAATCTGTACAATTATTTTACAAATAGTTAATTCTTTTGGTGAAAAGTAGGGGAAATAAGTAGATAATTCTATTTGATGGGTTAAGAAAACTTAAAAGCCAATGGTTTCTTTCATGCGCACCTACTACACATCCTATAAAGAAAATGTTTCAAAAGTTAGAGTTCAATAACTTTATCTTTTCCTTCTGACTTTTTAAAAAATATATTTTATTGATTTTTTACAGAGAGGAAGGGAGAGGGATAGAGAGTTAGAAACATCGATGAGAGAGAAACATCGATCAGCTGCCTCCTGCACACTCCCTACTGGGGATGTGCCCGCAACCAAGGTACATGCCCTTGACTGGAATTGAACCTGGGACCCTTGAGTCCGCAGGCTGACGCTCTATCCACTGAGCCAAACCGGTTAGAGCTCCTTCTGACTTTTGACTCAAAGCAGGAGATTATAACTTAGCTCCTATCCAGGTTTAAGTTGCCACTCCCTTAGTCATGATCAAAACTTTGTCTTAAAGAAAAATCCATTTGATAAATGAAATTAACATTAGTACAAGAATAGTTCGGAGGAAAATGAGTCTCCATTTGTGTACAACTTTAAAGCAGCAAGTCTAAAATAAAACTATTTTTAGAGACTGTTCTTCTCTCAACACACACACAAAAAGTATGATAAATCAGAGAAATGTCAGAGCTAGAATAATGCTGGCAAAACAGTTTTTGTAAACATTTTGTAGCAGGTCCAAGGCCTAGAACTAGAGTTGTTGTTTTTTCCCCTTAACTGTTATAATTTTGTTTCATTTATCCATTCAACAAATATTTATTGACAACCTACTGTGTGCTAACTGGCTTTAGGCATAAGAGAAAAACTTACTTTGGATTGGTAGGATCTCAAAAATATCATTAAGAAAATTTCTCATTAGTCTTCATTCTTACAGACAAGAGGGAGGCTCTTACTAATAGGCCATCTATATTAAAATATGAGATGGTGTGATGTAATGGAATAAGCAAAAGCTGTGATGTCGAGTTCCAACTGCACCACAGCTACATGACCCCGGACAAATTGTTTCTCTCTGATCCGCAGCTTCCTCACCTATAAAATGGAGTTGGTAGGCTATGCCTTCTGGGATGGCTACGGGGATTAAATGAGATATTGCAATGTAAAGCACCTCGCACAATTATGAGCTCGTAGTAGGAGTTTCAGAAAAGTTAGCTCTGATATAGTAACTAGGAAATGGGACGCTGTTGGGAGACTGCTATGTATAAAACGCATATAAAGAGTAGACCTGAAGTACATCATCTATTGCTGCTCCATCCATTGAATATTCTCACCCCCTGCTCACTAAGATATGAACGTCCTAAAACTGCCCTGGAGAGGAGAGGCAGGGTCGGATCACACAAAGAACCAACCTGGCCTTTATAAAGTCATCAATGAACGCACAGTACCTTCGTCGATGTCAGGAGGAAGGCCTCCAACAAACACCTTTCTAGAGTAGCGCTCTACTCGCTCCCCATTTTGACAGCGAGTGGGGGAACTTAAGCCAGAGGACAAGGACTGATCGCCGTGACTGTCATCCAGGAAGGCATCTTCAAAGGGGAAGAGAGAAGACCGACCTGAAACAAATGTGGGAGTTTGCACAGTTAAAATTATTTTCCTGGACAACAAACGTTTTATTAGGAGCCAAAATGCAGAGTAAAGCATATAAAAAGATAACTCCTGAGCTGTGACTTTTTCAATGGAACGAGCGACGGCAGATTACCAGGTCTAGACAAATTTGTATCATCATTTTTGTGTAAAGGTATGTAACCCACAGACACGACTAGACTGATACTAAGGCAGAAGCATTAAATACTGCAGCTGTTTTTGCTGCTAAAAATTCACCACATCTTACTCACAGAGTCCCTATCACTGCTGCTAAGAGTATTCAGCAAGTTATGTATCCTTTCCCTAAGCATTTCTTAAAATAAATGAAAAAGTAATCTTTATTCACAGATCTTTATTTGCTCTTTATGGTGAGCTCAAAGGTTCAGTTCTAAAGATGGACACTTGATGGCTGAGGGAATATTAAACTGATGACAGAGGCTGATAACTTCTTTGAGAGCTGGACTAAACATGATTAAGTTTTTTCTGCCATTTCAAGCTACTCCAATTTGAAAATAAACATCTGCAATAATAAAAGGTGGGACAGGTAAACAAAAACATGTAAGTTAAGATGTGGGAGGACAGATGTAGATGTGGTTATGACATTTTTTTTTAAGTATATTTTATTGATTTTTTACAGAGAGGAAGGGAGAGGGATAGAGAGTTAGAAACATCGATGAAAGA